TGATTGGAAATTTTTTTCTCAAAAAATGGCGGTGTAGCACAAAAAGTTCAGCGACTAAGTGACTTGCACTATAGTAAATCTTGTTTCAACGAATTTTGAATGAAATTTCTTTGTATATCCCAGCAACTCATTGTAGCAAGGTTATATACTGTACTAAACAATCAAAACTATAATATCTGAAAAATATAAAATTGGAGTTCTAATTTATTATTACTTCTTGAAATCATCATGACAAGAAATCCGCACTGGAAAAAATTTTAATAAATACAGAATAAATAGTTGTAATAGTTTTTCATTATCTAATAGTTCACTTTCCTTTTCAATGCTTTAAATTCTTTATAATCTAATTGGTTTTTATTATGAATCTTTGGAAAAATGATATTGTCTTGTTAAAAATTTATAAAATAATCTAACAATTATTTTATTTTAGAAACTTGGAAAAATTTCGCACACATTTGGATAAATAAGTCTATCAATCGTTTTTATTTTAGTAACTTGGAAAATTTTATTACTCGCAAACATTTGGACAAAATAATCTATCAATTATCTATTTATTGATTTATTGAATTATTTTAGAAATTTGGAAAAAGTTGCTTACTCGCAAACGTTTGAACTAATAATCTATCAATTATTTGCATTGATTTATTTAGAAATTTTGTTACTCGTAAATATTTGGATAAATTGTTTTGCTTTATTGCTTTATTTATTTTAATACTGACATAACCTATTTGATTGGTTGTTTTATTATTTTATTTTAGAAACTTGATTTATTTATCAACTTGGCAATTTGGATAAATGTCATGTTTATATATGATGAATCCGCCTAGTAGTCATATAGAAAGACCCATCAAAAATCCGTTAACATTGTGGAACAAATTTATTAATAATAATAAAATCCGTTGTAACAAGAAACCCGCTGTGACAAGGACCGCTGTGACGAGGTTGACTGTATATATTTTATAAGTGATGAGAAAACTACTTTTGGCTTGCAAGTTTTTTTTAAAAGAACCTTCTAACAGGACATCAAAATTTTTTATCGCACAATTGGATAGGTTCTAAAAAAAGTAGTAAACATCTCGCAAAAATTTAGTTTTTGGCATACTTACGTGTGAGCCGGACAACCCAGAGCGTTACGTAATTTTTTTAACAACAGCATCATCAACTAATTTTTAATAGGGATCTACATTTCTAACTCGCATAAATAAATATAGTTTTCCTTTCATCCCATTTAAAAAAAAAAATGTTGCAAATATTTAGAATAAAACATAAAGTCGACCTTTTATGGTTTCGCCGTTTTGTTGTTCTTATATTGTTATCATTGTTAGTTACTTCCTTTATAGTATCGATTGTTAAAATAATTCGTGAAAACCCTACTATTAGTAGTTCATACGAACCAACTGAGCAACTAACTGTACCAGGTAAAATATTTATTTTTAAAAAAAATACTCGCAAAAACGAACGATATATGTTTTCTAAACATTAAAACCACGCCAATCAATGTAGTCATCTATTTTGCTTATGATAAAATTTTTACCATAACTTCTTGTCGACTTTTGGATTATAAAGGTGATCGTAAGTAGAATTTTAATTGCTTTAGTAATATTATTATTATACATTACATATATACATCTGACTCAAATCTTCAAAAGTAAAAGCTTATTGTAATGAATACATTACGCAACCAATAATGTCAGACATTGGTGACAAAACTCGTCCTTTACTTGGAAAATTTTTACCAAAAGGCAACATGAATTTGACCAAAAATAATAATGGAACAGATCGGGTCAAGCTTTTAATAAATAACCCGGGTCCTCATGACACTGGACGTTGGACCATAGCAATGAATTTATTTGATTCGCGTAAGTTTTTTTTCATAAAATTGATGGTAGATCTTGGTTGATTTTTCTGTTTGATAAATTAAATATAGGATACGATCCATGGAGTGAAGGTTTTTCTGATCTAGAAGATCCATTCGTTGAAACCCTTGATTATATGAATTTATATTTTTTATCTATAAGTAAGGTATGTGCACTTGGTATCATCATTTAAAAAGGAGATAAATTTGCCAAACTGACTATAAAAAATCAATAGTATTATGATTTAATATACGCTAGCAAAATCAGAAAAAGGATAGCTCAACCAGTTTTAACTTACATTGGCTTTGAATCAACATACTCTACACAATATTACATTGAATCAAGTATACGTAAGAATATTTCTTTATTGCATCTTTTTAACCTTTTTAAATACTGATGTTGCTTGTATTAATTAATAACCACAGAGGATACAAATTTGAAAAGTGGGATGGACTATAATCTACTTGTAGAGATTGAACCAGGAAGTTTTATGATAGAAGAGGAAACAGAACAAAGGTAAAATTATCTTGAATGAATCTATTTGGCTGCCATTTATCATGTCCTTGTTAACATATTCATATTCACATTTGCAACTTTACAAATGATAATAATATATAATAGGAGCAATACTGTAGGTAAATAATATTTAAAATTTTGTTTTTTTTGAATAATAATTATTATATTCATCTATCATTCGGATAAATAGATTATAACCACACTAGGAAGTATTTTCGGTTATTATAGCATTATTGTGTCTTTTTATGTATTTTTATTTGGTAAGTTTACTTTTTCTTTTTAAGTTTGAAACATTGTGTTCCATAATTTGCTCACTTATTTTAAAAATTTCTAGGAAGTGATTTAATCACACCATTAGGCTTTGTATATAGTCAATACTGCTGCATGTTCAAAAAACACCAAGATGAAGCCAAAGAAAATCTCTTACCACTTGTGAAAGATTTATCATCTGACGCGGAGCCAACACTCTTAACACTTTCAAAAAGAGTTGAACAAATGGAAAAATTTAAATTATTCTTTAAAGAGAATATACTTGACTTGTCATCGTTAGAGTCTGGAGAAGGTAATACAACAAAAACTAAGTAATGGCAGCAGTAATAGAAGATAAAGTTGATGCAGCAACAAACAAAAACGAACAATAGCAGAATTAACCATGAAAATGTGGCAAGATCTCTTTAACATCACCATTATCTTAATTAGGGTCTAATTTAAATCAAAAAAAAAACATCATATTAGTAATTATCACTGGATGATAATTCATCTCTCGTTATTTATATTTATTATATTTAAATTGAACTGATCCAAATCAAACCAATAAACCATTGAGTTTATCCAAAAAAATTTAAACATAAATATGTAATTATAATGTCTTCAATTCCAACAACCATTATTTTTCTCTATTTCTACTTCTCAAAGAGTAGATTAATATCCCTCTGACCAAAACTGAGTTTTTTGTATATATTAATATCTGAAAAAAAAATAAACGAATTGATTATTATACACATATTGAGAATATCCGAATCGAGATTAGATATCTATATAATTAAAAATTGCTTTCACATCCTGGGTACTCTTATTGATTATAACTATATTTCCACCTTTTATAATGTGCATATACTTATCCCGGTTTTTAAATTGCATATGCTGCTTAGGATTATCAGTGAATCTTCCTTGAGTTCTACGTCTGTTATTTTTAGATTTGCGAGACATATTTGGAAATCTATATGGATAAATGATTTCAATTTTTTGCAAAGTGATCGGCGTGAAGATTCTTCACGCGTGTGATTTTTTATTTTAAATAAAACTATCCTTATATAAAAAAACCATTGTCGAACATGTCATCAGAGCTTGAATTATTGAGACAGCGAGTTACTAAACTTGAGGCAGAAAATATTGGATTAAAACAAATCATAGAAGAAATTGCTAATCTTAGGATCGAAAATACAAGACTAAATCAAATCAAAACTACTAATGACTCTTTACAAATACCTATTCCACCGCCAATTAATGACCACTCTGATGAAGCTGACTCCGTAAATCTTGAGCAGACACAAATTGCTATTTCTCCCGAAGTTAATTCTAATAATATCTCTGGACATACAGCTAATGCATCTGATAACGCACCAAGTTCTGATGTAAGTCAACCCATTCGTACAGATCCTAAATCGTCGGAAGATAAAACAGTTGATGATTTTCTGGATCTGAAAGAAAAGGAAAGGGTTAGTAGTATGATGAAGGAGAGAAACAGAGAAAAGATTAAGAATCGATACAAAAAATATCTTGTTCTTCTGGAAATCCTACAATTGAATTTTCCCAAGATACTGCTTCCATTCTGCTTCTTGATCAAAAAAACATTCAATTAGAATCTCAGCACAAAGAATCAAAGCTTCGAGTATCCGACTCATCCATTGCCTCACGTCAAACTTCTGCTGAATCGGAGCAAATGTCCATTAACCAGAAAATTCCTTATAATCAGAAAGTGGAACAAGGTTTAATGCGTGAGTTATCTGCATTTATTAACAAGAAAAGTCTTTCGAATTCTATATCTGACAAACAAATTCCTGAAAATATGCTAGACAGAGATAATCTAGATGCAAAAACATCCTCGCTTTGCGAGACTCCGGGTTCTGCATCACATTTAGCTCATTTATTTGATAAAGCTAAAAAAACTGGACAGAAAGAAATTTTACGTTGGTATTATTATAGTGAGGAATTCGAAAAAAAGGTCAGAAATATTAGCTCAAAAAACGAAATTAATGATCAAATGGCAAGACTAGAGATGGGCAAATGGCGTATAGTTGAACACTATACGACACTATACGATACTTTACGTATAGTGCGTATAGTACG